TTCTTCTTCCTCCTCTTTTTTTCCTTCCTTTTTCCTTTTTTTTTTTCTTTTCTTTCTTCTTTCCCTCTCCTTCTCCTTTTTTTTCCTCCTTCTTTTTCCTTTCCTCTCTTTCTCCCTCTCTTCTTCTCTCCTCTCTTCTCCTTTCCTTCCCTCTTCCCTTTCCTCCCTTCCTCCCCCCTTTCTTTCTTCTTTCTCCCTCTCTCCTCTCTTTCTTCCTTTCTCTCCCCTCTTCCCTTCCCTTTCTCTCTTCCTTTCCCCTTTTTTTTTTTCCCTCTCTTTCCCCTTCTCTCCTTCCTTCCCTCTCTGCCTCTTTCCTTTCTTCTCCCCTTTTCCTTTTTCTTCTGCTTTCTTTTTTCTCTACCTCTTTCCTTCTTTCTTTCCCCTGTTAGGATTTCTGGGATTTGAAGGCCAAAACATCTGAGGACCAACAAGTTGAGAACCACTGGTTTAGAGCCTTGTTTGAAATGAGTACATAAGCAATCATGATGGTGGATTTTGGAAATGGATCCTTGTAATTCTTAGGACACACTACAGGTAATCTTAGCTCCTTGTGAAGTAGCTTTCCACAGAAAAGTCTACAGGAGTTGGTAGTTAATAGCAACAACTATTGCCGTTGAATATGTTTATGAAAGAAACTGCATTCTGACTAATTTAACTGGCTGGAATTTGAGAAAGAGGGAATGCTCTAGCAAAAAAACCACTCCAAAATATTGAGGGAAGCAGTCCCCTCTCTTCTTTCATTGCATTTATTTAAAAGGCAACTTTGTCTTAGGATTTTTTAAGAAGTTCACTGCCACAAAAAGCCATGCTGGCCACTGTCTTAGGTGGCTTTGGAAAGGGATTAAAAATTGACAGAGGATAAAGTTATCAGTGATTCGTGGCCATGATGGCATTGTATTCTTCCATCCCACCCAGTATCAGAGGTACTATGCCTCTGATTATACGTTTCCAATGAACATTAAGTCAGATCTATTGTTCTCATAGCCCGTCTATGGCCTTCCCAGAAACATTTCATTGGCCATTGTGATAAACAACTGGCTGTGATGCTTAGCATGATTTAGTCAGATGCAGCAGAAATATGTTTATGATCTTAGAATGGAAAAACATGGCCTGACGTTGAATTTTCAGAGTGGAAAGATGTTGAAAAACTGGTTCCTCCCATTAAAAATACCTTTACTCTAGGAATTCATTCAGTTGCTGCCAAGCATATATTTTAGGCTGGGACTCTGGAGATAACTAGCAAAAAGCAAGACAGTCAAATGTCCCGTATTTGAAAGGTTATTCAGATGTCGCAGCTTCTGAATTATATTTCATGCATCAATATGGGTCAGGATTGGAGTCAACAGCAATGGGCCAAGTATTACAGTTCAAACAGGATGGGTAATTCTCAGTAATACTTCTGGAATCCACTCATGCCAACGGAACTAACTCTGGAGGAAATGTCAGCCGAGTTTTCATGCAAATGGAATGTTAAGGAGAGGCATTACATCATTCCTGGAGGCATGTCTCCATCTTAATTCTCTAGATACATCCTTACTTCCCAGACTTGCTGCTGGAGATTCCCTTCGTGGAGATGCCAAAGAGCAAATCAATGACCTTTCTGTATTAAGCAAGTGTGCTTCTAGAATTATTGCTTCCTTACATCTGTATATATCTCCTTAAATAACCCAATCCCGAACATGCACCTTCAAAATAAAATACTTGGTCTCCAATGCTAAGTGTACGAACGCTATGCATTCACTTCTAAGTACACTCAGTTAAAGGATTATATGTAGTGTTTTTTTACCAGTATAGCTACCTGCTCATCTCTTCTCCTCCTGCCCACTGTTGTTCCAATGGTTTTAATGACGCCAGGTCTCTGAAGAGCTGTGTGTCCAGTAACTGAAGACAGATTGGGCAGCGCATGGCTGTAGGGATGTGAACGAGAGTAGGCACTTGGCATGGAGGTGATCACAGTAGGCTGAACCATCCACTGTAAATCTTGGCTGGTAGTGATGGCGTTCAAAGTAGGTATAAAAGTGCTGCTCGATCCTGGCATATCTACCCGGAATTTCTAGAAGGCAAAGAGAGAGGAGAAATTAGTAGAACCAGGGCAGCCACCTTACTGACTGATGAGCAATGTGGTAGTCAAAAGACACAGCCTTTACCAAGTGTACGTCTTGCTCAGTATTTTCTATTCTGGCAGTTGGCAGTTTTTAAAATACCGAAGTAGGACTCTTAGTTCTAAGGAATTTTTAATTGAAGGTTCCAGTAACTGAATATGGAATCTTAGCTATTCAAAACACACATATTCCAAGCTCTGCACCACAGAGAGAAACAAATTCTAAATGGAATAGACTTTGTGCCACATATTTTCACCCGCTACCCATAGCACTCCTTCAGATATTCCCAGCTGGACAAACACAACATCTCAACTTGGTAATATTTCTCGTATCCACATTGGTACTTTCTCTAAAGTAAGAACAGTCTCTTCAAATTTGAAGCTGTAGATCAGAGGTGGGGAACATCTGGTCCCCCTGATGTTCCTAGATGCAGCTTCTATTATTGCACACAGTTTTCTGTGACAGATAATGCCAGAGGGAACTATAGTCTAACCAGATCTGAAGACCCCATATTAGACAAGGGGAAAATCAGCCTAAATTGATTCTGTGCAACCAAAGTAAAGCTGTATGTGTGTATACATATATATCCATATGTATCAGCTTGAGTTGTCCAGTAAATATGACCAAGCACAGAACAACCTTTGGAGCTTATCAATAAAATGTAGAGGTGTTTAAAAGAGTATTGTGTATTCAATACTGGTTTCAATCTGGGCCTTTATGTAACATTTAAAAAAAATATGAAAATTCTTAACTGATGCTATATGTGCATGTGTACATAACAGAAACACACACAGGTCTGCACATGCTCTCATATAATCAGAGATACAATAGAGTTTGCATTAGAAATTAAACTTGCAAATTAAATGATTTGAATGTATTCAAGATGTTGTTGTATTTCAGATAATTGCTATCTGTTCATCATCAAAAGCTACTTTAGTAAAATACAAGATCATATTTGATGTTATTCCAAAGCAAACAAACTAGCAAAACTCTAAACCAGCATCTTCTAAGCTTAAGTGTGGCCTTTGATACCAGAAAAGAAGCACAAAATGACAGATACAGTTATAACTCATACCATTTTTCAGATGGGATTTGCTAAATTCCAAGAATAATAAACTAACAGGATTAATCTTAGAGGGTTTTTTTTCTCAATTAGGCATCATGCAATGTCCACTCTTTGTTCAAAAGTGGTAGTTTGAAATCCTATCACTCCAGTATCATAGATGAGATATATGTAACTTGAAAAAGATGAAAATCAGCATATAACTTAGCCACCATTTACAGATGCATCCAGGTCCTGTTTGGACATCTTTTATGAATTCCCTAGTAAATCCTCAACAGGTAAGTTGACTAATCACAGAATCATAGAGTTGGAAGAGACTTTGTGGGTCACCCAGCCCAACCCCTTGCCAAGAAGCAGAAATCGCACGCAAAGCAACCCCAACAGATGGCCATCCAGCCTCAGTTTATAAGCCTCCATAGAAGGCACCTCCACCACACTCCAGGGCAGAGAGTTCCACTGCTGAACAGCTCTCACAGTTAGGAAGATCTTCCTAGTGTTCTATCAAAAATTCCCATATGTAGAATCAGAGTTCAGAGAAATTGGGTTTGGGTGCTATATGCATGCAGTCCTGGTTGAGGTTTCCTTGGAAGTTGCCATCCTTATTATTATTATTATTATTATTACTATTATTATTATTATTATTAGATTTTCAAGTTCTGCCCAGAGTGAAATATGCTGATTCAAAATGAAGAGCCAAGCTGACTGATTTTGCATCATCAAAGCTATGCTAGCATTCAAAACAACAAAGGAATATCCCCAATTCTTTATCTTTTAAAAGGTGATCACATGTTCTATATTTGGAAAGCTAAAGGGAGGTGACTAAAAGTGACTAGAAGTTCATGTTGGGGAGCAAAAAAAAAAAGATTATTGTCTTGAATGTTAAAGGCTTCAATCAACTTAAAAGGTGAACAGCCACTCTTTCCGGCTTTTTGGAGCGGTAACTAATCTTGAAGGGACCAGTTCCAGTTTTATCCTGGAAGGGTCAGCCCTAGTTAGAACTAGGATGTAAGACCACCAATGAATACCAGCTGCTGTATTTCAGAGGAAGGAACTAGTGAAACCATTTCTAAGTATTCCTTGTCTAAGAAAACCTTATGAAACTCATGGGTTCGGTTCACTATAAATCAAAAGGCATCTTGAAGGCTTATATAATAATAATAATAATAATAATAATAATAATAATAATAATAATACACACACCACCTTTCTTTTCTGATTTCAACCACTGCTTTTATTATGATCCATTATGATTATTTATCTGCTTTTAACCTGACTTTTGCTACTTACTGTTTTGTTTGTTGAAGTTTGAACGATTTGTGATTTTGTATGTTTCTGGCTAAGGGACAGAGCATGAAAACAAATCCTCTTTTGCAAAGACGTTGGAAATGCTTAACTTGAAGCATCTTCCACCAACAGGCTTCAATAAAAGTGAATTTTCAGTTAAAATGCCAGCAGGAGGCACAACTGTTCAACATGCCTATTGTGGCCACACGTAAGGATTATTTTTAAAGTAAAATATAGAGACGCCTCTAGCTGCAGAAGGTTTACGTGCCTATAGTTTAATAATACCCTATAAAATGTGTTTTGAGATTCAGATCAGAAAAATTCCCTGCAGCTCTTTGTTCTGTCTAGACAAAATAAAGCAGTAGCTTTTAAAAAGCGACAAGGTAATAATCTCCTGCAAAATTTTATGTATTAGTACACCTTGTCTCCAGACAGAGGTAACGCCATGTGGATAGTTTGCTGGCACTAAAATGCCAGAGGAATGGAATGAAAACAGAACAAAAAACAAATTCCAGTAATTGTAGGGGGCTGGTATGGAGAAGAGAAGGAATATCTTTATCTAAAATAGGAAGCATTCAGAAGGCTTACAAGTGTTCAATTAACTGTGTAGCCCATCATGTCTTCATTAACCAAGAATGGCCTGCAGTCCTACTGGACAAACCTGTTCTCCACGAGAAAACAAAAGGACACACTCTGGACTAAAACAAAAAATATTATATTCAAAGGGGATATAGGAAACTGATGGGTCACTTTCTTAGAATGATATAGGAGTTTGTAATTTGGAAATTGATGTCTCACCTCTACAACGTCACACATATGAAGACTTAAATTAAGGGTTAAGGGCTGAATCCTATGGGGATTCTTGACCAGTTGACCCACTGGGAGCCCCCGGTGGTGCAATGGGTTAAAAACACTTGTGCTGGCAGGACTGAAGACTGACAGGTCAGAGGTTTGAATCTGTGGAGGGTGTGGATGAGCTTCCTCTGTTAGCTCCAGCTCCCCATGTGGGGACATGAGAGAAGCCTCCCACAAGGATGATAAAACATCAAAACATCCGGGCGTCTCCTGGACAACGTCCTTGCAGACGGCCAATTCTCTCACACCAGAAGTGACTTGCAGTTTCTCAAGTCGCTCCTGACATGAAAACAAATTGAATTAGCTATTACATTGTATGCACACACTGGAGCAACACAAATTTTCAGTGAGACATCTTTCCCAATGTCTAGTGACCAACAAGCAGGGAGGAATGGGCATCAGGACATAACATAAAAAAACCAGAATTTTCTATATGAGAAGTTGGAAGAACACATCTTCTAAACAACTAGCAGCTATCCAAATATCACAAAAATTCTACCCTATTAGTTGCTAAGAACCAAGAAGAGTCACATTTTTCACAGAATGACCCCTGTATCCATGGGGGAATACATTTCAAGACCTCCTATGGGTGCCTAAAACAATGAATAATCATGAACTTCATATATGAGAAAGCAACTAACTTCCGATAGGGGTATTACATGAAACCATGTAGATGTATCGTGTACAATGAACTTCTTCTGAGATGGGAGAACTTATAATGACTTGTCTGTTTTTATTAATGGGTCTATGGACTGTAATAAATATTGTTATCATATTTGGACTATATTTGGTTAAGAATCTTAGCACACAATCCCACTGGAGGACCTAGAGAAACTCATACTGTAGTTTTCTTTCATGTATGTGTGTATGTGTGTATATGTGCCTTCAAAGACAAATCCATTAGTTAGTAATAGATTCATAACCACATATAAGAACCATGAGTGTCGATCTTTTCTAAGACTTCCCAATATATTTCTCTGTACTAAAATCTGATTCACACATCAGGACTTTTGAGCTGGATAGGACAGCTCTTGCCTCACTACAGCTTCCTGGGAAACAGTTTTGTTGACCTGAGGTGGACAGCACATCATGTTCTATACCACATAATGTGCCACAAAGACTTTTTTATAGGACAAAGGAGGATGAGAATGTAGCCCTTTACTTCCATTCAGAATTGAAGGTAGTGTTCATGTCTCTTTTACAGTGTGTGCATTATCTGGAACCCAAAACACAGAAAGGCAGAAAAACACACATGCATGCAATCTTTATGATTGTGTCCTTGTTTGCTTCTTACACCTTTGTAGGTGAAATGTCTGAGGTGATACAGCCTTGAGGCATAGATGTGTTTTATTAAGGAACACTTTACCTATGAAACAAGGCTTTGTTAAAACCTCAAGTCGTCAGTCCCTGAACTCAGTGCATGTTTTTCCCCTGAGTACAAAGGATCCAGAGCTCTCAAGACAGATTATTTGTGTCTCCAAAGAGATTATGGAACAACTACTATCCCTTAAACATGGCAAGAATAGAAAACTTCGCTGGCTTCACATGACAATTTTCTGATCCTCCACAGCAAGTGCATTCATTCAATTTTTTAAAAACATGACAAACAAAACTCAAGGTGCCTGGAAGTCCATGTCGGGTTCTGCAAAATTCAAAGTGAGGTTTTGATTTGTATTTAAAATATTAACTACCATTCTTGGATGTTTTTAGGGGAGTCCTTGTGCTTCTGCTGGAGAAAAAAGGTGGCCT